GGGCGGTTCCTTTTCGAAAGGTGGTTCTCGCCTTTCTCGTTCACCAAATGTTCAAGAGTATCTCATCAGCGTATCAGAAATGGTGTTCTGGAAAGATGAAAGATCATACTTGCGCAACATATATGTTGATTATCTGTGTTGAAGTCCTAGGAATGGCGTTCTGCTACGATTCAGGATCGTCAAGACGCAACAATCAGGTTGATCCGTGGCGTTGGGATCCCGAGAACCATTTTTTAGGCATGCTTCAGGGTCTTCAAACGGGTGTCTTCCAGCGAGGCAGTTCCCTCAATGGAAATGAACCGTTGTATGGGGCCTATGAAGAGGGAGCTTGGAGGGAGGGTTTACTCCAACATCATTGATGACCCTTGGGTTCACACTGGTCCTCTTCCTCCTCCTCATCATCATCCTCCTCCACCTCCTCCTCCTCCCTCCTCCTCCTCCGAGCCTCGCTCCTCATCAGAGCCTCCCGCCTCGTGCCTCCTCTCTCACGCACGTCACCCCTCCCACGCCCCACCACGCCCCACCGCACGGGGAGGAGAGGGAGAGGGAGAGGAAGAAGGGGGGGGGAGGAAGGGGAGAGGAGGAGAAGGAAAGGGGGCGGGAGGTGGGCGGAAGAGGAGGAGGAATGGAATGGAAGATGGAAGGGGGGCGGGACCCCCGCCCCGTCGTCGTCATCGGCGCCGCCTCCCTCCCCTATCCCTCATCCCTCCTACCCCTCCTCCCTCCTCCCTCCTCCTCCCTCCTCCTCCTCCTCCTCCTCCTCCTCCTCCTCCTGCTTCCGCTTCTGATCCTGCTCCATTTCTCGTCGGCAGGCCGCAGGTGCTCGCAGGCGTGAGGCGTCAGAGATCGATCCTGCGCCTCCTCCTCCTCCTCCTCCTCCTCCTCCTCCTCCTCCTCCTCCTCCTCCTCCCTCCTCCCTCGCCTGATCCTAAGACGACGACGATGAACGCTGGGCCTCCCAGAGGAGAGCGGAAGAGAGGGATGAAGACTATGGGGCCGAGGAGGCCGCGCGACGACGACGACGACGATGATGCCAAGGAGGACGGCGGCGGCAACGGCGACGACACGACAGCGACGGCAGCAACCACGCTCTCGACGATCCATGATGGGGTCTCCTCGTGAGGGGGGAGCGCGGGGGGGAGGGGAAGACGCGGCCAAGTAGGTCGATCGACGACGGCGGCGACGACGGCGCTGCCGCTGACGACGGCGCTGCCGACAACGCCGACGACGACGCCGACGTCAGCGGCGTCGACTGCAGCGACGGCGGCGGCAACGATTGCATGCCCAGCGGCGCGTTCGGTCCTTGGCCAGGCGGCAGGCCTGCATGACGTCGTCGGCGGGCGCCGCCGCGGCGCCCAGGCCGAACGCCTGCCGACGAAGACGACGGCGCTTGTCGACGCCGGTGCTCGTCGCCACGGCCGGGCGCGGCTCGGGGAACCGACCGGCCACGTGCCGACGGTGGGCCCACTCTGGTCGGGCGTCGACGGTCGCGGCGACTGCGGAGGTGAGGACGACGGCAACGAGGACGACGAGGACGAAGGCAACGGAGACGAGAACGACGACGAAGGCGACGACGAGGAGCAGTGAAGGCACCGTAGGCACCCCAGGCAGCGTGCCCCACTGAACGCGGGTCCGGTCCTCGCCGCGCGCGGCCGCCCTCGTCCTCCCCGCCTGAGCGACGTCGTCGTCACCGTCGTCGCCGTCACCTCCCCCCCTTCCCAGCATCATCATCATCATCATCATCATCATCATCATCATCATCATCATCATCATCATCATCATCATCATCATCATCATCATCATCATCTTCATCATCATCATCATAATCATCATCAGCATCATCATCATCATCAGCATCATCATCATCATCATCGTCATGAGTATCATCATCATCATCATCATCATCATCATCATCATCATCAGCATAATCATCATCATCACCACCACCATCATCATCAGCATCCCCAGCGTCGTCCTTAACATAATAATAAATCATCATAATCAGCATCGTCATCATCATCATCAACGGCATCAGCATCAGCATTCGCATCAGCATCAGCAACAGCATCAGCATCAGCAGCATCATCATCAGCAGCAGCAGAATATTCATCGTCATCGTCATCGTGGTCGCCATCATCACCACAATCTCCACCACCACCACCACCACCATCAACAGCATTATCATCATCATCACCACCACCGCCGTCACTATCACCATCACCATCATCATCATCAGCATCACCATCAGCATCATCATCAACAGCATGATCGTGCGTGATCATCATCCAGATCGGCATCGTCATCATCATCAGCATCAGCATCATCATCCTCAACATCATCGTGATCATCATCGTGATCATCATCGTGACATTATCGTCATCATCACCATCGTCGTCGTCATCGTCGTTGTCATCATCATCGTCATCATCATAGTCGTCTTGCTCATACTCATCATCATCAGCATCATCACCATCATTTTCAACATCATCATGATCACTGTGATCACCGTCACCCGCTTGACCATTGATGTATCATCCTCTCTCTTTCCTGTAATCCTACCAGCCCTTTAGGGCGAAGGTGGTCTAGCGCGTATTGTCGTCCATCTCATCTGCTCCTCGTTCCCTTCGACGAGGAGTTTATCGCTGCTCCTTATTTATCTACACCCCCTCCCCACTTGGCCGGTGGCCAACCCGGAACCATGCCGACACCATGAGAGCCCGCCCCCCACCATCCCTTTTAAAAACATAGTTCTATATATATTGTATATCTTACCAACAAAAAAAAAGAAACAACAAAAAAACAGAAAAAGGGCTCAGTCTGCCTCCACATTTGGAGCATGCGCAACAAACCCGATGCGCTCCCCCACCATCCCTGCAAAAAACAATACACAGTAAACTGTGGGGAAAAGTCTTGAGTCATTATCGTGAGGCCCACGAACATCTTGCATTGTTTTTGACAAGGACTGCGGGGGTGTCAGCATATTCCCTGCTGCGCGCACGGCTACCATCCCTGACGAAAAAAGTACAACATGCACCTGGCGCTAAATCTGGATCATGCGCGGCCATCCCGCGATCACTGTCAAGTGTTTTTTCTTTCAGGGACGGCGGAGGTGGTGGCGCGTGGCCTGCTGTGCGCAGGACAGCAGGCAAAATGGTGAGCCTTGGTTTTCGACAAGGTTGGCGGGGGCCGGCATGTTTCCCGATGTGTGCTGTCACGTGCGCAGGCGCACCTGACGCACTCTGCACGCATCCCGAACGTAGCGCAGCTGGCGCGGCTGGAGTGTGCGGCACACCTGGCGCATTCGGAGCACGTGGCGCACCAGGCAAGCCTGACGTGACGTGTCAGGATATGTCTGGGCCGAATCGCGCCGGCGCGGAGTGTCACGGCATGGCTCGGTTTTTGGTGAGGATGCCTGCCTGTAGGAGATCATGTTACGATTCACGATTCCAAATCGCGCTGTCGTGGCGTGTCTCGATATGGCCCGTTTTTTGTTGTGGTAGCCTGGCTACAGAAATCCTTTCACAATTCAAAATCGCGCCGGCGTGGCGTGCCACGATATGGCCGGGTAGAATCGCGCTGGCGTGGCGTGTCACCGGATGGCCCGAACTTTTGGTGTGGGGGCCTGGCAATAGAGATCCTTTCACGATTCCAAATCGCGCCGGTGCTGCGTGTCACGATATGGCCTGTTTTTTGCTGTGGGGGCCTCGCTTTCAAATCTTTCTGCGATTCCAAACCGCACCGGCATGGCGTGTCACGATATGGCCGGGCCGAATCGCGTTGGCGTGGCGTGTCACGATATGGCTTGGTTTTTGGTGTGGGGGTCTGGCTGTACAGATCCTCTCACGATTCCAAATCGCGCAGGCGTGGCGTTTCTCGATATGGCCCCGTTTTCGCAGTGGGGACCTGGCTACAGAAATCCTGTCACCATTCTAAGTCGCACCAGCTTGGCGTGTCACGATATGGCCGGGCAGAATCGCGCTGGCGCGGCGTGTCACGATATGGCCCCGTTTACGGTGGGGGCCTGGCTGTAGTAGAGATCCGCTCACGATTCCAAATCGCGCCAGAGTGGCGTGTCACGATATGGTCCGATTTTTGGCGTGGGGGCCTGGCTATAAAAATCTTTCTGCGACTCCAGATCGCGCCAGCGTGGCGAGTCACGATATGGCCGGCCGAATCGCGCCGGCGCGGCGTGTCACGATATGGCCAGAGATCTTTTCGCGATTCCAAATCGCGCCGGCGCGGCGTGTCACGATATGGCCAGGCCGACTCGCGCTAGCGTGGCGTGTCGCGATATGGCCCAGTGTTTGCTGTGGGGGCCTGGCTATAGAGATCCTTTCGCCATTCCAAATCGCGCCGGCGTGACGTGTCACGATAGCGTGGCGTGGCACGATACGGCCAGGCCGAATCGCGCTGGCGTGGCGCGTCACGATATGGCCTGGTTTTTGCTGAGGGGGCCTGGCCGTAGAGATCCGCTCACGATTCCAAATCGCGCTGGTGTGGCGTGTCGCGATCTGGCCGGGCCGAATCGCGCCGGCGCGGCGTATCACGATATGGCCCAGTTTTTGGTGTGGGGGCCTGGCTATAGGGGTCCTTTCACGATTCCACATCGCGTGTCCGACTCGCGCCGACTCGCGCACGGCTGCCTGCGCCGGCCCTCGGTTCCATATCTTCCGATACCACGCGGCTACAACGCCAAAGAGTGGATGTCCCCACGCGACAACCGTAAATAGACATGCAGCGGACTCCGCGCGGGAGTCGTTTTTGGGGTTGGCGGCAGAGACTGCAGCCTTTAAACTACTCCAGATATCGTAATAAAAGGGAGGGGGTCTGGACCCTCCAAGACAAGCCATTTCAGACCCCCCCCGTGGGAGAACCCTCCAGAACATCGTCCCCAGACCCCCCCAGGCCCTGCAAGATAGCCTGGAAGAGACCCCCCCGAAATGAGACCCCCTCCCTTTTATTACGAAATCTGGAGTACATTGGGTTCACGCTCACAGGACCGCGATCCATCGTTCAGAACACTGGACGCACGCCCCCGGGGCCACGATCCCTGGCAAGTCACACGGTTTTCGCGCTACCCGTGCCACGACCCCTCGAAAATCACATCGGAGTCGCGCTCCCAGGGCCAAGATCCCTCCTAAACTTCGGCGGGGGCATGCTCCAAAGGGTCACGCCCCCTTGCCAATCACACGCGCGTCGCGCTCCCCGCATCAGCACCCTCTGCGAAGAGCGCTCGACCCGCGCTCCCGGGCCCCGGAGGCCGAAATATCCAGGGGGAAAAAAAACACCCGGACTGAAATCTGAGAAACAACTCAGAAACAGCCAAGGAAATCCTAAAAAAAAACATCGAAAAATTAAAAACAAACAAAAAAAAAACTGGAATCTCGTCGGCGTCGGCGTCGGCGTCGGCGTCGCCGTCGTCGTCGGCGTCGGCGTCGCCGCCGCCGCCGCCGTCGTCGTCATCGTCGTCGTCGTCGGCGGCGTCGTCGTCGACGTCATCGGCGAGGGCCAGGCGGCCGCGAGGGCCGCGAGGGCCGCGAGGCCCCTCCTCCTCGTCCTCCTCCTCCTCCTCCTCCTCCTCCTCCTCCTCCTCCTCGTCCTCCTCGGCGCGCGCGGGCGCGCAGCTCCCGGGAGCGCGGCGCGGTGGCGGCGCGCTCGTCGCCGCCGCCCTCGGGCCGCGGTCCGTGGCGGCAGGCCGAGGCGGGCCTGCTCCGCTCCTGTGGGCGGCGGCCGCCGCCGCCGCCGACGACGACAACGACGAACACGACGACGACGCCGACGAGGCGACGACGCAGACGACGACGCCGACGAGGCGACGACGAAGACGACGACGACGACGCGGGAGGCGACGACGACGACGACGACGACGACGAGGACGACGACGACGAGGACGACGACGACGACGACGACGACGACGACGACGAGGACGACGACGACGACGACGACGACGACGACGACGACGACGACGACGACGACGACGACGACGACGACGACGACGGCGGCGGCGGCGGCGGCGGCGGCGGCGACGACGACCACGACGACAACTGCGACAACGACGGCGACGACGGCGGCCGCGCGGCGGACATCGTCGTTGTCGCGGCGACCGTCGCCGACAACTGCTCCGCTCCCAGGAGCGCCCGTGGGGACAAGGGGGCGAACCCAACGAGGAGGACGAGCAGGACGGGCAGGACGAGGAGGGCGAAGGCAGGGAGGACAAGAATAACGACGAGCCAGACACTCCCAACCTGATGCCCCGCAAGGCCTCACCCGTGGACCCCCCCATCGCCCAATACTTCGGTTTTTCGTCTCCATCATCACCACCGCCATCGTCCTCTGGGGGTCGGCGGGAATGGCACGAGCCTCTTGAATAACGACGACGAAGACGAAGAGGATGACGACGAGGACGAGGACGACGACGTGCGGCCAGCGCCGTCTGCCCCAAGGTCGAGCACACCCAGCCCTGCCTCTTCCCCGTGGGCCCTGAGAGCGCAGAAAGGCGGAAGCCGCCCCCTGTGCGGAACCTTCCCGTTGTGGAGCCGAACGTCTGTGGACGAAGGCGGCGGAGCTTCTCCGAAGCCCACTGGCCTTCTGAAATATTTCTGTGTCGCCGGGGACGACTTACAACGCTTCTCAGAAGGTCGGAGAACGTCCGAGCCGTCTGAGAAGGCCTTCTCCTTCTCACTTCCCCCCCGGGCGCGGCGCCGAAGAAACCAGTGGGTGTGGAAGGCCAGGTCTGCGGCAACTCGTGGGGGCCTCCCATACCATCTTGTCGGCTCTTGCGAATCGACGCGCACCCACGCGAATCGACGACGAGCCTGCGCCAGTCGGCCCCAAAGTCAGCGCTGTCGCAGCAGGTACCAGACACTGGCCGACGCGAGGGCACCCCAGAGATGGAACTACGAGGGTGCACGAGGCTCCCATGACGTGCTACCGGAGCACCCTCTGCTCTCGCCATCGCTCGCCTCGCCGAGGAAAAAACGCACACGTCCGAGCGATGCCAGGTGCTTGTGTCGAGCGCCAACTCTAAGGCCGCAGCGGGACCGAACGTGTGGCCGACGAAGGGCGAACGAGCGAGGGCCACAGGAAAGGCACCGCGGCAACCCTTGCGAGGCGGGGATTTGTCCATATCCACCGCCCGGGAATCGACGTCCTGGGGACCCAGCGGGCGGGCGAAATGGACAGATGTTGGCCCCAGGGGGGTCCACTGCCTGTGGAGGTCCGCGAACATCGATCCGCCAGGCGGTGGTTATGTATGAATCCCCACCTCGACACCCAGGAGGGAGGGAGGGAGAAGGAAGAGCAAGGAGCGGGAGCGGGGATCGAGGAGCAAGGAGCGAGGAGCGAGGAGAGCGAGGAGGAGGAGGAGGAAGGAGGAGGGAGGAAAGGGAGAGAGGAGGAGGAGGAGGAGGAGGAGGAGGAGGAGGAGGAGGAGTGAGGAGCGAGGAGGGAAGGAGTAAGGGAGGCAGAGAGGAGGGAGGAGGGAGGGAGGGAGGGAGGAGAGGAGGGAGGGAGGAGGAGGAGGAGGAGGAGGGAGGAGCGAGGAGCGAGGCGGAGAAGGGACAAGGAGCGAGGAGCGAGAAGCGAGGAGCGGGGAGCGTGGAGCGGGGAGCGAGGAGCGTAGAGGAGGAGAGCGAGGAGGAGCGAGGAGGAGCGAGGAGGAGCGAGGATGAGGAGGAGCGAGAAGGGGAGGAGGGGGAGGAGGAAGAGGAGGAGAAGCGAGGAGGAGGAGGCGGAGGAGGAGGAGGAGGAGGAGGGAGGAGGGAGGAGGAGGAGGAGGAGGAGCGAGGAGGAGGGAGCGCGCAGGAGCAGAGCTGAGCGTGGAGGTGCGGCAGGCGGGAGGGGCTGCCGCAGGAACCCCCCCCCGAGCGGCCTCGCGAGGCGCGCGGCGCAAGGCGGGACAGCGCGCGGCGAGGGCGGGCCACGGAGGCGCCCAGGCCACTGGAGACCAAAGCTCTTCGGGGGCGGCCAAGAGAGGGGCGTCCACGAGGGGTGGGGGGTGGGGCGCAGGTCATGGCCGGCGGCACGTGCGCGGCCCGGGGGGGGGGGCCGGGGACGCAATGAAAGAAGAGAAGGCGCCATGAAATCTGAGGAAATAGCATGGCCCCCGCCACGATATCCACCCCCCCCTCATCATCACCCCCCTCTTCGCCGCCCCCGAGCTCTGCAACCAGCAGAGGGCGACCGCACACACAGGGCCAGCGGGGCGGTAGTAGAAGAAAAAGAAGAAGAACAAACGCTACAAACATAAACTGTTGGCACTCCGCGCGGACTTCATGGATCTGCGCTGGACCCCTCCCCCTCCCTGGCGCGCGAAGCGCGCTAGGGGTAGCGCCAGAGTGCTGCCAGGGGGCCAGCGCAGATCCAAGAAATCCGCGCGGAGCGCCAAAGTGGATGTTTGTTGCGTCTTGCTTCTTCGAGGGAGGGTGCACGGTGGGCCCATGTTCCACCACCACTGCCATAGGCAGAACGGGGAAAAGGGAGGATGGGGAGGTCCTCCTCCCTCTCCTCCTACTCGTCTCCTCCTCCTCCTCCTCCTCCTCCTCCTCCTCCTCCTCCCTCGCCTACCTATGGTGGTGGTCAGCAGCCACACGCGCACAGGGACAGCGTGGCGGGAGGGTGTGCCGTAGGCTCGCGCGGCGTCGGGACGCGCAGAGGCCTTTGCCACCTCGTCGATCGCTCCGCCTTGGAGCGATCGCGGCCCCGATCGTTCCAGGCTGAGCTCCGTCGGGTCCCGTGGAGTCGCCGTGTCCCTCGGTGCTCCCGCGTGGCAAAATTCAACCTGGAACGGCTTCGCCGGCGTCGCTGGCGAGCCAACACCGCACGAACCTGTTGTAGGGGTCCATCCGGGAGGCCAAGCCATGGGATACCAAGCCAGGGGAGCCCAGCGAGCGCGACGGCTACAGCTAGTGAGGCGTGAAGACGCGTGGGCCCATTCGGGAAGCCAAGCAACACGAGGCAGTCCCCGAGAAGTGCGGCAGGCAGGGCCCATTGGGAGGGCAGCCATGGGTGTCGATCGAGAAAGCCGAAGCACAGGAGCCCAAACACCCACCGCAAAGTGTGATGGCCAGGGCCAATGAGACAGGCAAGCCATTGGATTATGTCGGGCGTGTCCCCCTACAGGAGGGTTTTGAACGAAAAATAAGGAATACCCCAAAAAATCCCAAATGATCAAATAAGACTAAGAAATAGCCCCCAGAGTATTTGTTTTCTATTTTTGAATGTTCTCCCCTGTAGAGCGACAGGCCGGACTTAACCAGAGGAGCCCATACTATAGAAGCCCAACAATGGGAGTCAACGCACCCATCGAGCAGTGAAACAACTGGACCAGTCGGGCGAGAGGCCGTATGCGGCCATCTATATAAAGCCAAGCCGTTGAAGCCCAGGCAACCGCCGACAAGTACGACAACCAGGGTCGGTGAGAAGGCGAGCCACAGACGGCATTTCAGGCAGCAAAGCCATCCGAGAAACCTAGGTTACAACCTAGGTTACAACCTGGGTTAGGAGCAAACCTCTGTTACAACCTAGGTTATAACCCTCCGAATGCCAAGCGAGCAGTGCGACAGCCAGGGCCGGCGGGACAGGAGGCCATCGGAGACCATCCAGGATGCCAGGCTTGAGGAGCCCGAGTGCCCACGGGCGAAGGCGACACGCAGGACCAATTCCGAACGACAAGCACACAAAAAAGAAACGATGAATGGAAGCACGGCTGCGGGAAAAAGGCTTCAGAAAGCCAAGGAACGATGAACGCCAGAGTTTGCCAGCGTGGATCCAAAACTAATGCGGTCTTGCACTGTATGCAAGCTGTGTGGTGCAAGCTATGTGGTGCAAGGTGTGTGCCTTCGGCGTGTGTAAGACGCTGTCGACGTCGTCGTCGTCGATCATCGTCGTCGTCGCCAGTCCTAAGGGAATTTAGAAACGAACAGAGAGAACAAACGTAGCAGTTAAGTCAATTCCCTCCCCTGTTCCCCTCCCTGGCGGGCGGGTAAAGGGAGCGGGGTAGTAGGGGGGTCGGTAGGGGGTTCGGGCGGGAGGGAGGGAGGCCCCCCCCCCGGGGTCACAGCGGCCCTACTCTCCCCTCCCTGGTTCCCCCCTGTGGGCAGGAAGGACAGGGGGGGGCCCTGCGGGGGGGGGGGGGTCCTGGAGGGGGGTCTCAGGAGAGGCCCCGTCTATGGTGGGGGATGGTGGCCCCAGGAGAGAATACCCCGGGTTCCAGGCAGGTCCATCGGTAGGGGACCACGTGCGAACCCTACCCCTGCCCCCCACGATTTCTGAGAGGGAGGGTGGGGTCCACTCCGCTCGGGAGCTCCCGAGCGAAGTGAACCCCACCCTCCCGTTCAGACATCGTGGGGGGTAGGGGTAGGGTTCGCATGTGACCCCCCAATCGGGCCCCAGCGAGTCCCCGGGGAGGTCCCGCCTTCCGGGTCGGCAGCACGTGCCGTACACCCTGCGAGATGCTTTAGAAATCATGGGTTAAGAAATTCATAGTCTCGGAATTTGAACTCAAACCCAGAATGCCGATTCAGATGTTAAGATTTACATGGAAACATCAAGAACAATCGAGACTCTGGCCGAACGCTTGGGTTTTCTTAAGCATCGCCTGGAGTGTAAGGCCATCAATACACACACCGCAGATGCAACCACAGCGCGCTGGGCGGCAACGGGGCCGCTAATTGCGGGCGGCAGCGCGGCGAAGCATCGGCAGACCTCCCAAGCGCGG